AATAGCTTTCACTGAACAAACTGTAGATTTGGCTGAAATGAGACAGTCTAAAGAATATAATTGATGATATTCTTCTTAAGTTTACGTAATGCTTTTGAGGAACAAAGCAGGAAATGGATGCTGTTGTTGATACTGGGAGACTAGCCCTGTTTCAAGGCACGCATCCGTCTTCTGTAGCCTTCATTTCCCTGTGGAGTCAGCTCAGCTCCTTTTTTCTAAGCCAACTGCATTGGCCCCGGTGAAAGCAGCATGGGCATGCATGCTGGTCCTGCCAGCTAGCTTTGCCTCGGCCTGGAACAACCTCTCACAATGGTTTCCCCAGCATCCACTGCATTCTCTCAGTGTACTTTCTTTCATCATCTCTAAAATCTCTTTGATAAAAACATTTCATGGAACACCTAACCACAGGATTCCCACCCACTCTGCCACAGGGTGGCTTGCATTCAGCATTTGACAGTGAAGGAGAGGGAGATGCTGTTTCCAGCTCCCCAGTTTCGTCCGGCTCAGTGCTCTCGCCCTCAGATGGCTGTATTGGTATGAATGTGACTCCTCTAGATCTAGCAGAGAAGGGACTAAACATTGAAAAGGGGGTAGCTTTATGGAGCTTGAAGCATCAGCATCTTTTTGAATCAGAGCCCCAAGATTCAGTCACATCTTCTCCAGCCTTCCGGGACATCTGAGGCCTGGCAAGCCTGCATGCTGGGGAATATTGAGTGGCATCCCTCCTTTAAAAAGAAAAACGTGGTACTAAGGAAATTATGCATTTGTGTAGGAGAGGTCAAAGGAGCCCTGAGGTTGATCAGGTTGACAGTTTATATAAGTCAATAAAAATGCTAGCATGTATCTACTGAGGATCAGCCTCAGCCAGGAAGCGGGGGCACCCATGTTCTGTTGCCTTTCTGTTGTCGCTTCCTCGTTACTAATGCACTTAAGAAACTGAAAAGACCAAAAGCATGTGATGACAGATGCTTAAAATGTCAACATGGCTATCCCCGTCTCCTCCCCGTCGCCTCACACAGATCCCAGAGACTGGCTCCTCAATTAGTGGGAACGGGTATCATCCAGTCAGTATCCTGGCGATTTAATGCGTTTCCTCCTGATGCGTAACAATTCAAAGAGCAGATAAGCAGATAGACTATACAGATAGGAAGACCCCAAGAAACCCTGGTGGTGCACTGGTTCATTGCTCAGCCGGTGACAGAAAAGCTGGCCATGCAAACCCATCAACCACTCTGCAGGAGAAATATAGGACCATCTACTTCCATAAAACTGCGGCCTTTGAAGCCCCGTGGGGCGATTCTTCCCTGTCTTACAAGATTGCCATGAGCACAGTTTTCTCCATGGCAGTGGATCAGCGACAGCCACAGGCATCTGCATCTGACGATGCCAAGTGCCAAGAGTGAGTGGGCACCGGTGCTGTCTGCTGCATCTGCTGTGAGACCTTCCCCGCAGAATGACCTCTGCAATATTGTGCTCCCCTGAAACAGTAGGACTAGGTACTTAGCCTTTTTCTTCAGGGATTACTCCCAAACTTTTCCAGTTGGAAGCATTCATGGTTCCATGGTAGGCTTATCCACTTTCCACACAGGAGATGTGAATCTAGAGGTGAATTTAATTCCCAGCCAATGCTCGCCCCATCCACATGACAGAGACCTAAATACACACAAATCCCTCTGTGGAAGAGAAATGTAAAAGGCACTGTTCTCTGCCTTATATGTAAGAGAACAATCATTCCCTGGGAGCGAGCAGCGTGACATTTGCAAATGGAGGAGGTGGGAGGACCGGCCACCTGAGCCCCCTCATTGATCTTACAGCCAGAACAAAGGCTGGCTGTAAGCATTTAATTTTTGCACTACTTATTTTCCCACCTGAGCCTCATAACTTTATAGGGTGATATGGTCCACAGTTTGTTGTGGTTGTTTATATTGAAAGGCTGAGGCCCAGGCATTGTTTCACGTACTGAGGATTGTGAAAATCGTGTGAGGCAAGCTAGTATTATTTTGTTTCACATTAGGGTGTTTGTGTTAGTGCGGGTGCTTTAGAGAAACAAATCCACAGAAACTCATGTGTAAGAGAGTTTTATATAAAGGTTAAGTGTGCATCAAGAAAACATCCCAA